AATCTTTCCTGTAAGCAGAAACGGTGCTCTCTCCTGCCTCCTTCAACTTGTTGAGCACTACAGTTAACCTGACACTTGCTTCTTGCAATAACTAGACAAGAATGTGGGTGCGTCAACATTGAAGGAGTTCACGCTCGACCTGCCTCACCTTTGGAGGAACAGCTGATGAGCTTGCCAAAAGACTCAGGCCACCACAGCAGAATCAACCCAAGTCTCTTAATGAAAGGTTCCCCATGGCTGGTCCCTTCAGGGACACCACTGCCAAGTTTGACGCTAACATAATAGGCTCTGTCCTTTGAGAGCGGCTAGGTTTTTTGGTCTATAGGTGACAAGTGAAGCTGCAGCTGGTTGCTTCCACTGATGCCAACAATATTTTCACATTGGCTTCAGTAGCACTAGGTTCAAACACTGTGTTACCATCAACAGCAATGGGATGTGCTTTTATGCCCATCCAAACATTCTGGTGCTTTTCTGATGGACTTTACAAGCTTCAACCAGGCTAGTTCAGCTCTCCAACTACCCACACTCCCACAGGAGTTTGTTTAGTTGCTTTTTTTCACTGGAGATACTTTCCCTGGCCCTCCTGCCTGGCCAGGAGAAGACTGGAGCCAAGCCCGTGTAAACCAATGCACGGCAGGGAAGCAGAGGTATGTGGCTCTGTTTCAGTGGATGGTAAGCAACCCGGAAGGCTTGCCCAAAGTGGGACAGACAGGCTCTGGGTCTGAATGAGCCAGGCAGTGGAGACCATTCTTTGCAGCAGCCATAGCTTGGAACTCAGCAATGTTATTAGCAGCTGACTGAGAACAAGGGGGCACCCTGCTTGAAGCACAGGGCTGGTCTCACAGGAGCACAATGCAGCAGACAGGAAAGGTTATTCTCTGCCATTGGACAGTGAACTGCAAGGAAGGCATGGGAGAGAGGGAAAAGGAAGCTCTCTCTCTCAGGCCCTGCAAATAAGACTGCTGCAAACTCCAAGCAGAGCAGACTTGACATCTTTGTTTCAGAATGCAAACAAGAGGCCTCTCCAGCAATGGCACGTGTCAGAGCCAGAGAGAGAAAATGAGAGGAAATCACCCAGGCTGCAGTTTTACTGCATGTCTCAAATCCCTTCTGTGCCACACTCAACCTTCTCATTACAGTCTCCTTCCCGTTTCTTGCAGTTCTTGCGCTTCCTTCTGGGTCTCAGACAGCACAGCACACTATTAACACAACTCCTTATAGCACTGTTGTGATACGTTCTTCAGCTGAGCAATGGCCGAACAAATAGCTAGCGCTTCATTTTTCACTGAGGATCAGGAGGATGGGGACTAGGTTATCAACCCACGATGCAACCTGAATAAAGGAGTGCACTGCTAAACTGACCGGGCTGTTCGATAACCTGGATTGCTGGCATCATCTCGGTACAAAGGACTAAAAGCACAGAGGTATCCTGGTCTGTTTTAAGAAGGACACCAGCAAGTGAGTTTTAAACCCCTAGCTCAAGTGACCCCAGACTCAAACCACTAATGATGCACTGCAATTCTCAAGGCAATATAAGTGTGTGAGTGGATGTCAGAGTATTAAGAAATGCCGGCTGTAAACAGCTACTAAATCTTGACTCTAACTATATCAGACCTGCTGCTCTGCTGCAGTACAGATTTGTGCAGTTCAAAATTGATGCATGGTGCAAAAGAACCAGGCACTTCCGTCCCTGAGAGACTGACGTGCAAGCTGCTTGACTGTTAAGAAACTTGATATACATGCTGTAACCAGGTTTGGAAAAAAGAAAGGAACCTTTTAAGTCTTTCTTTCAGGTGTCTCCCGTTAACTGCTACAGATTTTGGCACTGCATCTCTTTAAAATCGGTATGGAAACAATTTTCCAGCAGAAAAAGGGCCCAGCTGCTTTTTGCTGTGAACTGAGGCAGCAATAAACAAACTTCTGTCATGCCAGCCTCTCTATTCATGGCCCAAAAACACAACTAATTGTCTAAGTAACATCCCATACTCGGATAGCAATCACAGATCCCACAAAAGTTCAATCAAAGCGGAAAAAGTTGCACAGAAAAGGAATTTTTTTTTGGTAATGTCGCTGTTTTTCTTTGAAATTCCTACTGGTGCCCGTGGCTATAAAGCTTATGTAAAACATCTCGGGGCTTTGCTGAAGGAAAAAGAGTAACACTGAGAGAAACAGGAGCAGGACAGGGTAGAATCACCAAGAACGGGGACAAAAATGGCCCACGGTCTGGAGGAGAAAGACACTTAAACTGTCTTGGTGTTAAGTTTGCTAAGGAGATAAAAAATATCAATTTTTCTTGGTTCTGCTGTATCAGCAGAATCTGCTCCCTGAAGGAAAGATCTGGGGAGAAAGGGGGAGGCAGTTAACTACAGAAGATTTACAGGACATGGAAAGCCTGCCCTGAGACTGGCAACCCAACATCTCAACCTAACTGAGATGCCAAGAGCTTTCATCGAGTTCAAATCCATTCACTGTGCTCTCTCATACTGCTGTGTCCCTGGTGCCCAGTAAGCCTTAAAACTGCTGGCTGATCATATGATACTAGTCCCTCCTCCTCATTACACGCTATTAAGTTGTATTAAAAGAAGATAAGCTATTTTAAATGCTTTTCTATCATTTTGTCAGATCACCCGAATGCATCTGGATCATCTGTGGGAGAGAGGTGGCTATGAGACCACCCCTGATGATGGGGTCAACTCTATGAAAAGGTTTCAGAGATCCAAGGACAGTGTCATCTCTTTCACTGAAAGTTTCTCTGAACATCTTGTGATGAATCAAAAAAGAAGAGGCTGCTTAAAAGCATATGAGGATGCTCACATACCTAACAATTGCATGAGCTAGGAGCAACGGAAACCTGCTTTAATTCAGCCCCTTTCATATGAGGAGCTCAAAGAACTTTATATAATACTTAACATCTCAAAACACTCTGTAATAACATATGCTTTACAGAGGAATAAATCACTACATGGCAAGGGTCAGTGGCTTGCAGACCAGTAAGAAGCAATACTCTTTGTGCAGGATGAGAGATGAAGGATGCAGCCAAGGCAATTCTATGCTGTTAGTGCTCTGGGTCTTCATTGCTCATTTTGCTGAGGAAAAGGCTTGGCCCAGGAAGTCAGCAGGCATCAGTCCTCCAAGTCTGTGTGACCACAGATATCGTAGTCCAGCCACAGCAGAGCATTCAGACTCCACCAGCTGCTCTGGTAACCTGGCAGAATTCTGCACACCGTTCACGAAATGAATGACAGCGCAGATTGCAGCCGTTCATCTATGCAAACGAGGAAGCGTACACTGAAGAAATGACTGGACTCTGCATGCAACGTGTTTGGTAGGTGCATCCAGAATGGGACTTACGGCATCTGCAGGCCACATCCCTTTGCCAGACTGCAGCCTATATTATAGGCCTTGATGCCCAGCCTCCCTAAATCGGCTCTTTAGAGATATGCACTAAGAAGCATTTATTAAAAGCACAGGCTGAAGAATTGGGAAGCTAAACTTTGCCCTTAAACCCACTAAGGTCTTCTGGATGCCCACTGCTGCACACTGTACACTTTCTAAGAGATGGAGTGACATAACTGTTGAAGACTAATGCAAGAAAAGCAGCATTAGAAAACCTGCCATCATACACAGTCAAAAAAAAAAAAAGGCCATGCACACTACTCACTTGTCCTGGGACTCAATATAGACATACAGGTGAGGTTCAAAGCACTTGGAAATGATGCCGTGAAATGGGTTGTCTGGGACCTTTGGCTTCTTTGGCTGCAGAAAAACCATTTAGAGCAATGATTTCAAATGTGAGATCAAACACTTACAGAAAACAGCACAGAAGGACCTGTGTTTAGGAACCTTGTAGTGATACTAATAACCAGCAATATCCAACTTGTCACAAACTGGCAAACTTCCACTTGCACTTTGGCAGTTCATTTGTTTGACAAAGGAGTGTCTCTAATAATGCACATGCCCTGCTTTTGGACCTTTTGCATTGCAAGATGCCAATGTAGCAGAACAATCTTGTATTTATTAGTATCACAAGACCTTGTGCTTTTATGGTAATTTTCAACAAGAGCTCTCAGCACTCAGCAAATAATCAAACCTCATAACATTCACATTAAATAGCACTGAAACTCCACCAGTCATTGCTGAGGCAGAAAACAGCAGCCATGTAAAACTACAGTGAAAACATATCTATAATTTAGGATATAAAGGAAAATATACTCAGGTGAAATTCCAGGGGGAATCTACATAAACAGAGCACAGATACCAGCATTGCAAGTTTTACAGAATCTCATTCATTAAAACATTGTGTATTTGGCAACAGGGCATTTAATTAGAAATTACTACTAAATCACACCAGTTTTCAACTCAAATTTGAAACAGTAAGCATATGGATGATCTAAAATAATCAGCATGCTAAAAGCTCCAAGTCTGAATTCATGATCCAGGAACAACCCTCCCTTATGCTCCCTCCTTTAGAAACAATTTATGAAATCCAGCCTGTTGCACCCCAATTCAACTAGGTGCGGAAGCACGACTCAGTGAGGTCAATGGGACTAACTACACGCTTAAAATTATGCACATGCTTTAGCATAATGTTGAATAGTGACTTTAAGCTCTCTCCAGTTGTTTGCAGTAGATCTAGAATTAGATCTAGACTGTTAACTGACCCTTCCTTCTTAGCCAGCTGACAGTCTCGCTGCCTGCAGAGAAAGCACTGGCAGTTCCAAAGCAGCGTTCTCGGCTGCTTCGCCAGAGAACTGGGTTCAGAGTTCCTGGCCAATGAAGGACAGAGTCTTCCACTCCAAAGAAGCCTTTCCACTGTAAGCAAGCAAGCAAGCAAGCAGGAGAGTGCCTTCTTGCTCAGAGGATGTACTTTCCTAAATAACAGAGAAGGGGCACTAGGTCACTAGCAGAATTTGTGAAGAGTGGAAAGGCAAGCGCTTCCCAGAAATAACGAAGCCCAGAACACACAAAAATGAGTAATCGTGCATGGCTGTCGAGCCAAAGCGCACTAATGATTTGTGGAGGCCAGACCACCTCTGTGAGCCTGGCTTCATTAACCTTGTCAAACATTAGGGAAAGTGAGTTTTTATGACACTGGGAGAGTGCCACCCCGCAATCATTCCCTGACCCCGGGCCTTTGCCAGTGGCTGGTCACGTCAACCTGATGCACGAGTTCTTTGGCATCAGGAAGATATCACTGGGTGATATTTCCAAAACAGCCCATCCTTGGAGGCCCCTAGACCAGGAGCTTCATCGGGGCCACACTGTACAGCACAGTGTCAGGGACTGATTCTGTTAGTGGTGCTCACCATTCACAAGGCCGGAAGAACCAGGTGCAGAGACACTTGTGAGTGCGTGTGCATGAGGCTTTGCATCACGCAGCCCCCAACCAGGCAGAGAGGGAGAATACTACATTTTTTTCACAGTAGCAGCAGAGCTGGATTTCTGTGCACGCAATCCTGTCCAAGAAGTGCAGATGTTAAAGCTATTTCCTCCTCAAGCTTGATGGAATAATAAAAGGTTACTGTTGTCACAGTAAGGAGGTCTGCAGCTGGCCCAGCTTCCTTTTATTACTGTCCAAAGTAAACAGATTAACTCTAGCTGCTAGGATCACTCAAAGGGTTTCTTTTCAACATGGGTTTCTTTTAATCTTTTCCTCTCACTCTTCTGCTCCCCCAGCAGCCCTCTTACACGTCCTCAATCATCAGCCCTAGTATCTCAGAAGCTTTCTTTCCCTGACCCCACTTCCACTTTCAACCCTGCCTTTTTCTCTCCAGCCAGCAAAGCAGAGAAAAGGGCATGATGCATCTGCCACTAGCTTTAGCTATACAGAGAGGTGCGGAGGAACTGACATGCTTTTATGTCTCCTTTCCGGTGCCCCTCTGGTAGGCCAGACTGGCTGGTGCTGGGCTTGCGTTGCGTGGTCTCAGCATAATCAGAGGAGTATCCTCCTCCCACAAGCAATATTTGGAGGAATGGTGCAATGGAGCCGCACAGCCTTGGCGTCAGAAAGGAAAACACCCTCATGAGCAGAGAGCAAGGCAGTTCCCTTCTCAGAAATACCCAAATTGCCTCCTGACAACAAGTACATTCAGCTGCTCATTACAGACAGGGTGTGCTCTGCAGCTCACTCATTCCCTCGCCTGTCTCCTAGCACTAGACAATCACCCCGATTTCCACGCCACAGTTTGCACATGGTATCTGACGCCTCTTCATGGCTCACCTGCCTCTACAGTCAGCGTAGGCTACACAGGATCGAGTCAACACCTACAGCTCTCTCTGACCACAAAGGCCACTCCTGAGCAAGACACAACACTTGCTTCTTACCAGATCCTCAACCTCCTGCCTCCCAACTGCTCACAGCTGCAACAAGCCCAAGGAAGTAGAGGGAAGGACTCAGGACCAAGTCTCCTGCTCACCAACATCACCAGGACAATAAGCCACTGTTCTGAGTTTGATAATGGAAAGACACCCTGGTTTAAAAATTCTACTTTAGGATCTCTGTTATTATGTGTTTGTATTGAGCAAGTGCCAGGAGGTCCT